TATACACACACACACACACACACACTCTTTACAATAATTTTTTGTGTGATTATTAGTTAACAGCATTAGTTAACATGGACTAACAATGAATAACACTTCTGCAGTATTTATTAATCTTAATGTTAAGTTCATTTTGTAAAGGGGTCATATGATGCGATTTCAAGTTTTCCTTTCTCTTTGGAGTGTTACAAGCTCTTGGTGCATAAAGATTTACATAACGTGTTCACGCGTGTTCACACAAAGAAAGAAGGCGTAACTTTAATTCTCGTTGTAGTATTGTTAACGCCGCCATGTCGTGAAGACGCTGTGTTTCGTTGTGAAAGCGAAAATACTTTGTTTGGTCTTCCAAAAGAGGAACCTTTAAAAAGGAAAAGAGTAGACTGCAATGCCGGCAGTTCTGACTCACAAACTGTAAGTACGTTTTTATATTTAAAGGATTTGCCACTGACGATTCAAACGTGAGTTTTGGGCAGTGTAGAGTAGCGCTTGTTGTTTGTCATTTCTCCAATCACAAATGCAGACATGGTTTTATGTTTATGTGGCGCGATGCAACGCAACGCAACGCGTAAAAAGACAGTATAAGTTATTATAATCAGTAATTATGTCCCCACTGGATGCAACAAATGCCTAGTTTATAATGGGTTTTAATGTTTTTGTCTCGTCGCTCCGGCTGGACACGGCATCATCACAGTATGGTGAGGGGCGTAACATTTCCGTCACACGCTTGAGGTATTCGGCCAATCACAACGCACTGGATAGCTGGCCAATCACAGCACACTTCGCTTTTCAGACCGATGAGCTTTGTAAAAATCGACACGTTTCAGAAAGGCGGGGCATAGAGGAGAAACAATAATGTACAGTATGTGGAAAATAATGTGTTTTTTGAACCTTAAACCACATAAACACATTTTATTACACCAAATACACAAGATTGTATTTTCATAAACTAACATTAGCATTAGGTTAATAAATGCTGCAAAATACATTAATTGTTCACTGTTAACTAATGCATTAGCTAATGTTAACAAATGAGACCTTACAAACACTTCTTAAGTCTTTGTGCTTCTCAAGTAAATATATCGTCATTCAGGAATGTTTAGATAACTGTACTGGAAACAAGACAAAAACACTGAGGAAGAGAATCATTTCCAGCACATTCACAGCTACACTGCAATGGTGAATATCATGGTTGGTCCTGCTGTTTGAAGCGCAGTGTTTTCTGGTTCTCTGTCTCTGTCCTGCAGGAGTTTTCCTCTCTCAGCTGAACAGGGTTCCTGTGACGAGGATCTTTCTGATTTGGCCTAAATGTGCAGCATTCATCGGCCAGATGCAGACTAGTGTGCCAAAAGCGGATGGGTGCTCTGGCGCTACGAGAGATATCAGATCAAATGAAGCTGGAGCGGGGGGTGAGGGTGGCACTTGGGAACCAACAACTGAGTCAATTCTGCTAATTAACTGCCAATTAGCGGTCCCTAAATGCAAGAGATGCTGACGATGTTCTCTGCCAGCAGCTCGCGCCGCCGCTCATCTCCACTCGTCCTCTTGAGCCGTATATTTAGAAAGAGCGGCCCGCGAGACTCCAGAAAAAGACTGGACGCTCTCATCTAGGTCAAAGTTAAATGGACAACCAGTATTTTCAGTCGTGTGTAACACAGACAGACAGACGGTGTGTGTGCGAGCGCAGATCTGTGTGTTTAAACTCAACGCTCCAAACTTTCCCATGCTCTGAGGAGGAAAATCAAACATCTTCACAGGCCAGCTTATGCTTTTTACATCACATTTGGAAAATATTAAGCCATTATTTTGAATTTCATAACAGCCGTTCGTGCCAAGTGAAAGGGTCATAAAAAACATAAAGCTGATCTGTTTGTTCGTGACTCATTTGAGTTCGGAGAGAAATAGAGAGTTTTGAAACCCTTTCTCCAGTCGTCTCAGTATAAGCAGACTAGGATGAATCCCTCATGATGATTACTCATATAAAGACTAAAACAGAGCCACAGATTGGACACCAGCAGAGATGGTTCAGTCTGAGCTTTAGATGTTGAGACACAACTGGTGAAACAACAACAGATGACCAATAAAGACACAAATACAGCGAGTGTGTGTGTGTGTGTGTGTGTGTGTGTGTGTGTGTGTTTCTGTGGGCATCAGGTAAGATCAGATCCACAAATCCTGCAGATGTCAAAGGTCGTTCGTAAGTCACCTATTCCACTCCATTTGTCAGCTCATTAGTCAAATGAGTTTCCATGAGTGACAATACAGAGACAGAGACGCAGAAAAAACCCAACAGAACCCAACAGAATGTGGACATTAACACAATAAACTTCATTGTTCTTCCATCACTTTTCAAATCATAATTTATTCTGTGGTGGAAATTACATTTGAAACTAATTCCTTTGTCTTGTCATATCTCGCATTGTATGTCCAAAATACAATTAAATATTATTTTCACACTTATTTTTTTCATTTGAAGAAATTATAGCTTGTTTGTAAAAGATGCACAATAAAAACAGTAAAGAATTGCACTGACTTTTGAAAAATGCGGTGGAAATGATGAGTGAAAAATGCTATTTACCAATTTCACATATTGAAATGGTTTGTGATTATTTCACTATTAGCTTGCATAACAGTTTTATGTGTAATAAATAATATTTTTATATAGTATTTTAAAATCTTGGTCTGTGATAAAAAAAAAAATGATGAAGGCATGGTGAAACGATTCCAAGACAGTTTTAATAAAAGTTAACCCCTGGGACATAAAAGTTCCTGAAGTTGAAGAAACAGTCAGAAATGTCTACAAGAGCAACCGATAATGATACAAACCCACCTCTCTTTCATAATGCTGTGTGTGTGTGTGTGTGTGTGTGTGTGTGTGTGTGTGTGTGTGTGTGTGTGTGTGTGTGTGAGTGTGT